CGAAATAGTTTCTAGTTTCTCATCTTGGCAGATTTTTCTTTGTGTTTCTTCTGCCTGGGATTTGCTGATCCTCTTGGATATGAAGAGATTAGCTTTCATTAACTATGAAAAGTTGGGGGCTGTTATTTCTTCAAATACTTTTTTCTTCTGTTCTTTGTTTTTCTGTCCTTCGGGGATCCAACTATAGCTATATTAAGCCACTTAAAGTTTCCCAGAGTACACTTTTTATTCATTTTTTTCCTGAGTCTTTTTATCTCTATATTTTGTTTTGGATACTATCTACTACTACACTGAAAAGTTCACTTATCTTTTCTCCTGCAGTGTTTTTTTCTGCTGTTAATTATATGAAGTTTATTTTTATGACTTTTTTCTTCTGTAGAAATGTAATGCATGTCTTTTTATATTTTTCATGTCTCTCCTTAATATGCAACTTCCTTCTTCAACACATGGAATAGAGTCTTGTTAACATTTCTAATGCTCTTATCTACTTATATGTCATCTGTGACATTATTGGTTTAGTTTCAATTAACTGATTTTTGTCTTTATTTTTAGATGTAGTTACCTGCCAATTTTCATGATTGGTAATTTCCAAGTGCATGCCAGTCAGATTTTTTTTTTTTTACCTTGGTGGGTTCTACATAGTTAAAACATCATAGACAACCCCCAACTTAAAATAGTGCAATTAAAATATTTTGAGCTTAACAATGGGTTTATCAGGACATAGCCCCATCCCAAGTTGAGGAGCATCTGCACTTACAATGATTTGACTTACGATTTTTTGACTTTATTTATGGTAGGTTTGTTAGGATATTAAATGCATTTTCTACTTAGGATATTTTCAATTTATGACACATTTATTGGGATGTAGCTCAGATATAAAACCAGGGCATTGGTACTTTAAATATTCTTCAGGCTTGTTCTAAGATGCCACCAGGTTTCTTAGAACTAGTTTTACTATTTGAATCCTTGCTGTTAAGCTTGAAGGCAAGATCAGAGAAGCCTTTGGTCTGTGGTTAATTTTTCCTATCTACAGGACAATACACTTCTGAAACGATGTGTTTTACAAGGTTGTTATACTCTGACTGGTAGGAATATAACTTCTTTAAATCACCAACTGACCCCTTTTCGGTAAGCATTTTTCTGAGAGTTGGTTAATTTTCCCACATGCAGATAGAAACATGTATTTAGCTGAAAACTCAAGGGAAAATTCTGTGAATCTCCAGAGTTCTTTCTCTATATGACTGTTTTTTCTCTGTTCTGCTGATTCCAATTCCATCTCTTCAAGTAAGAGAGACCACCAGGCTCAGTGTGGATTCCTTATCCTTGTTCATGGGCTGAAAACTCTCTCTAGTCAGTAAGATAGAGCAATGGTAGCGCTCATCTCATCTGTTAACCCTGTCTTAGGGATCACTGTTTTGTGCTGCCTCTTCTGTGTTGCTGATGTCTAACAACTACTGTTTAAGATATTTTGTCAGGTTTTGATTTTTATGATGTATTCTCTGTTATTCCATCTTGACTTGAAGTAGGAATCACTTCCTACCCCCATGGTCTCATGTATATTCTTTAAGATTTTCTTCCATTATCTTCCCCAAATTACTTTTTCATACTGTGACCTTTAATGCAATAGAATTGCAATACTACATATAGTATTACATAGAGACTCCATTTTATTCTTCTTGTCTGTGAACCAGTTTTCCCAGTAGTATCTAGTAAGCAATTTATATTTTCCTGTGTTCATTTGTTGCAACATACATTTGAGTTTTGTTTCCTTATCTAGATGCAATTGCCTTTGAACTTTCTCTTCTCTTCCACTGATGTTTTTTTCTGTTCTTTTGCCAGTTCCACTCTGATTTTAATGTTGTATCTTTGTATTAGTATCTCCTTTCTATCAAATTTTCGGTTTTTCTTTCAATATCTGTTGTTATTGCATTAGTTGGAATCACCTCTATTCTGTTAAATAACAATGATAATGGTATACTTGCCTTGGTCATGATCTTAAGAAAAATCTGTAAAATGTCTCCATAAGTATGATATTTTATATTTTTTCATAATGCACTAAGGAATAGATACACTGAAGCAGGTAAGGATTACAAAATTGGTTTAAATTTTAAATTCCTCATATACACTTACAACAATAATACTCATGTCAATGAATTTGAAACAGCATCAGTATGGTTCTGAGCAGTTCTTGTATTAGGGCAATAAAATATACAGTGTGTATTAATAAACATTAAATACCTCAAGATTAAATGTGTATACTTATAGAAACCACATTTTTTCACACAATTGTTTTCTCCAGAAACAAGGAGACATAAGAAACACATATTCCAAATACAATAAATTTCAAAATGCAGTTTTATGAGGACTCTTTGAGATTAGACAATTTATCTTGTCTCTTTGAATCATGTGTAAATTAAGACTCAAATACTTTTATCCACTAATATTGATAAACATTAAGTATATGAGTCTAAGGAACCTAATATGGTGTATGACACATTGAATACAATGAAAAGGTTTTTATGGCTGGGTGCAGTGGCTCATGCCTATAATTATAGCAATTTGGAAGGGTGAGGCAAGAGGATTGCTTGAGCCCAAGAATTTGAGACCAACCCTGGGCTACAAAGTGAGACCGCATCCTTACAAAAAATTTAAAAAGTTATCCAGACATGGTAGGGCACACCTGTAGTCCAAGCTACATGGGGAAGGTGAGGCAGGAGAATTGCTTGAGTGCAGGAGGCTGAGGTTATAGTGAGCCATATATATATGGCTCATGCCACCACACTCCAGCCCGAGTGACAGAGCAAGACCCTATCTCAAAATATAAAGAAACAAATAGTGTTTCATTTCAGTAGATGTTTACTTTTGATGTATGCATTCTATAAATATAAGACAGTACTCTGTTCCTATATATAATTTTGTGATGAATCTAAATAATACATTATAATAACTTTATAACATTTCAACAAAGTATCAATAAAATCATTATTAAAATATTCATTATATTCTTCACTACCATGAACACAAATCTTTAAGTAAATACATATGAATTTGCTTAAAATGGAGAAAATTCAATCCAGATGCTTTGCTTCTACAATGCCTCATAATTGGATATTTATTAATCCAGCTTTTAGACTAAACATTTTTCCTCATCTAAATGATTAGGAACACACAGACACAATCAGTGGAGAATGTAAAAATTCATACAGTAATTTAAATTTCAATATATATTTATATAAAATATGTTAGAATGGCATAGTTGCAGTTTGAGTTTTAGACATCTCATAGTTAGAAGATTGCTTTAGTAATTTATTTTGTATAGTAAGATTGGTTGTTAAAAAGAAAACGAATAACTTTGGAGATAAAATTCCTAGAGACATTTCTCAACCTATATGTAATATTAATTTTCTTGCTTTCTCTCCTTTCTTTCTCTCTCCCTCTCTCTTTCTATGTATATAATGTTCATAAATATAAATAGAATATTCATACATTCAAATATAAAAACATCCTATTTAACTAATCTTAATTTTATAATGAATTATTTTAAGTGGTGAAATCCCATAAGAGTACAATAAGGACTTTCATTTGAGTTAGAAAACGTAAAACTAAAAATTGATTACAAGACAAAAGTTTACCTTTTCTAATTCAATTATGATGTGATACTGCTCTTGGTGGGCAATATCTGGAAAAGTTGCTTAATTTATGAACGACATGGCACATATACACATTTTATCAGTATGGCTAGATCATCATAAGTAGTCCTTGGCTAGTTACGTTGTTATTATAGAATTTTAAGCTTTAATAACAGCTAGCTGAATGTTTTTCCTAATGAAGAATGTTCTTTAGCTCCAGAACTGAGCCACTATTTCTGATCAGTTTACATTAGACTCAGATGTTGGTGATTTGGGAAACTATTTTGTTCTTAAGGACAACCTATTTTAAACAGCATATAAGATGTTTATTGAATATATATCTAGGAGTGACATTACTCAGTTATAAGCATACATACACTCAACCTTAATAGATATTGTCAAGCAAGGTTCCAAAAGAATGTCAGTAATTCATTTTGAAAAATTGTCAGTTTCCGGTAAAACTGGACATACTCAAGTACTACAACCTGGCAAATCCACACCTGGTATTTATTCAGATGTGTACCTGAA